TCAGAGATTTTTAGGAAATGGATTTTCCAAAGTCAGAGAATCTTGAAATAAGACAGTAACTTGTAAGAGCAAGGCCGAGTTGTCAAAAAAAGGATTATAACTTTAACAGATACCTGGTCTTATAATAAAAAGAGTATCAAAAGGATATTTTCACAGATGCCTTAAACTTGCAAGGGCTTTAACATACATCCCCTCGTATCTGCTACCTTAAAAAAAAATAGATGATTTTCTTTCTATTCCTTGCACCATTTCTCAAAGTAGGTGTAAGTGACCTTCTGCCAAGACAACTTAGAACATTTCTAACAGGTCCCAGTGCTTACTTAGCTCAGCGCCAGGCCCTATTAGGCATTCAGCAGTTGTTGAATGGAGAAATTAATCAATACTTGCTTCTACTTGTGCCTCTCATATCCATTCATTCTCAGTAAAGTTCAGTAAAAAATACTGACCCAACCATGCTGCTTCCCTTCTAAATATCTTTCAGTGGCCCTCAGCTACTTAAAGGTTTTGCCTCTCAGACTTTTCTCCTTCTAAAATTGTTTTTTATTTTATAAAATTAACATATATACTGTGGTCAAAAATTCAAACAACACTGAAAATAGATGTAAAAAAATAATACTTCTTATTCTCCTTTCCAAATATTTAGTTTGCTGGGCATATACTATATTGACTGGTCTTTCCCATTTACTTTTTAATTTTGATGTAAATTATATACAATAATATTCACCTTTTAAAAGTGTATAATATAGTCACAAAGTTGTGCAGTCATAACCTGTCATTCTAGGGCATTTTTATTGCTCCCCAAACAAGCTCTATACCCACTAGCAGTCACTCTTCCTCTCTGCTCCTCCTGTCTTGCCTGCCCTGGTTCCAGTCACAGTCCCTGTGCCGTGTCAGGCTCTCCCCTGTCAACACTGTCCCTAGGCAACCACTAATCCATTTTCTGTCTCTATAGGTTTGCCTGCTCTGGATGTTTGCCTGCAGTTGGAATCATGACAATATGTGATCTTTTGTGTCTAGATTTTTTTTTTTCAGTTAGCATGATGTTTTCAAGAATCATCCATGTTGTATTACATACAGTATCAGTATTTCATTTCTTTTTATGGCTAAATAACTCACTATATACATACCACAGTTTATCCATTCATCCACTGATGGTCATCTGGATTGTTTTTACTGTCTGGCTATTTTCAATAAACTGCTATAAATTTCTATGTACAAATATTTGAGCGCCTGTTTTCAATTCTTTTGGGTGTATACCTAGGAGAACTGCTGGGCCATGTGTTAATGCTGTTAAATGTTTGTTTTATATGATATTTTTTATTTTTTTCTTTTATTTCTTCAGTCTTAATTATGAGAATAAGGGTTTTTCTTGGTGATGATGAACTCCTTGATTTATTTGATCTTATCTGAGAAGCACCTTATCTGTCCTTCCATTTTAAATGAAAGTTTTGCTGGATAGAGCAATCTTGGTTGTAGGTCTTTAGATTTCATGACTTGGAATACCTCTTTCCAGCCCCTTCTTGCCTGTAAGGTCTCTTTTGAGAAATCCGCTGACAGTCTGATGGGGACTCCTTTGTAGGTGACTGTCCTCTTAGCTCTTGCTGCTTCTAGGATTCTCTCCTTCATTTTAATCTTGGCTAATGTAATTACGATGTGCCTTGGTGTGTTCCTTCTTGGGTCCAACTTCTTTGGGACTCTCTGAGCTTCCTGGATTTCCTGGAAGTCTATTTCCTTTGCCAGCTTGGGGAAATTCTCCTTTATTATTTGTTCAAATAAGTTTTCCACTGGTGGCTGTGCCTTTCCCCCTTCTGGTACCCCTATAATTCGGATGTTGGAGCGTTTAAAGATGTCCTGGAGGTTCCTAAAACTCTCCTCATTTCTTTGAATTCTTGCTTCTTGACTCTTTTCTGTTTGGCCATTATTTGCTTTCTTCTGGTCCACTCCATTGATTTGAGTCCCAGTTTCCTTTTCATTGCTATTGGTGTCCTGTGCAATTCCATTCATTTCAATTAGTTTCGCCTTCATATATTTGTCTAATTTGTCCGTATAATCAACCAGTTCTGTGAGGATCCTGATCACCAATGTTTTAAACTGTGTGTCTGTGAGTTTTGCTATTTCTTCATCGCTTATATTTATTGGCTCTGGGGCTCTGAGATCCTCCTGCGCCATTCTTGGTCTTGTTCAGGCCCTTTAAGTGTGAGAAGCGGTGCCTTGGATTCCCAGGTCGCTGGGTTGTGATGCTGTATGTGGGGGCGTGGCCAGAGCGGGGAAATGGCGACCCCCTCTGCCGCTTCTCACAGCTGGGTGCGGAGGAGCAGTGCCTTAGGTGGTTCACCTGGGCTGGGCCACTCAGAGTCGCAGGGTTATGACGCTGTATGTGGAGGTGGGGTCAGAGCAGGGAAATGGTGGCGCCCTCCACTGCCGCTTGCCGTGGGGACCTGCCGGCCCGGTCCAACCGCCCACTCCCTCGCCTGTCCACCCTTGCACAAATGCGCGACCTCAGTCAACACGCAGCCCTGGGCCCCCCTGGGCCCCGCTGTCTCCCCCGCGGTCGCTCGCCTGGTCGCTCGCCTGGTTGCTCGCTGGGTCGCTCACTAGGTCTGACCCTGCGCCTGGATTCCGCGGGCCTTAGTGTGTCTGGCCGAGTCCTCCTGTGCAACCCTGCTCCGCCAGCCGCTGGTTTCGCCCCTTACCGGTCAGGCTGAAGAATTTGTTGTTAACGGGCTTCCGAAAAGTTCAATTTTCCGTGTTCTGGCTGTGTTTTCTGTTGCTAATATTTAGTTTTCTCTAATCTTGGTTGTGTGAGAAGGCACGGCACATCCACCTATGCCTCCATCTTGGCGGAAGTCCCTGTATTATATTTAATTTTGATATTTTAGCTGGTAAATTTTTCTATTAGAGCAAATAATTTTTAAATTGTTTAACTTGAAAGCCCCAGATAACATGTACTTTTCAAATTATGACAGATTTTTGTTTCTTCCCTTTGGCTATTTTAATCTTTTTGTGATATGATGGCTGGTATCTCTGTTTTATTCGTGGCTCTAATTTGGGAATGTTTTTAGTATTTTGCTATTGTGAATGCTGTTTTCTATACATTTCTGGTAGATTTCTTTTATTTGGGTAGTTTTTTTTTTTCTACCTCTAGTTTGCTAAGAATTTTTTTAAAAACCAAGAGTACATGCTAAATGTTATTTCCTTTTTAAGAATATGAGATACACATCTTCCCATTAAATTGTTGGTGTTTCAGGAGCTTGCATTCCTATTTGCCTTGGGTTTTTCCTGATTACTTCAGGGATTTTTCTTAACATTCAGACTGTTGGTCACAAATGTACAAACTCTGAAAACCAATCTGAGAACATGTGTTTTGGAACATCTGTAGTGCCAAGTTCAGTGATGCTATGGAGCTGTACATGTTAGCATATAGCCCCACATGTTTATTTACTCAGTCTTCTTAGTCCCTTCATTTTTTCCTGTAAGCTAAACAATTTAAATTCTTGCTATTCATATTCAAGAAACACACTTTGTATTTGGTTCTGTTTCTCCCACCTTATTCCTGATAAAAAATAAAAAACAACAGAGCTTCAGTGAAGTAGCAAATTATCTGTTTGTTAGGTGTTAGGGTGCTCATCACCATAGTAACAAGGAGCCAGCTCATACTTGAAGTGGGGCGTAATGCAGATCTGTTGCTTTTCTAAAGGACCTAAGACAATCCAAATACCCTTTTATAGATGAGACAGCAGGCTTGTGCAAGGTGTATCTCAACATCCTCAGCATGTACGAGATACAGCTGAGGTAGTTTGCAGAGGAAATAAAATGCGCTGAGTTGAGGTTCCATCACATCTTGAAGACTCCAAAACATATCCAGATGTCCTTTATTTTCTGCCTGAGGGTAAGCGTGTAGCTTCCTATTAAGGCTTATTAACAGCTCCCGATTCCCCAAATCCACATCAAAGATAACTGGTCTGGGGGAGTAGAGAATTCAGTGAGGCAAAGGCAAAAAAAGTGATTTTACATTTGGGTCAGATTGTATAAGTAGGGGCCACAGATAATCTTTGGTTTAAACATATTTTGGTTACATTTTGAAGTGCTCTGTCTTAGATCTTGCTTTGAAAAAAGGATTTTTGGGATCTGCATCTTAGAGACTTTTCTTAACAGGTTTAAAGCTAAGATCTGGGGAGAGGGTTGGTGGGGAGAAAAATAGACCAGCATTTGAGATTTTTTGCCTGAAATATTTTCCATGATTTTTGGAGAACATCAGAAATAAAATTACATTTTCAGGAGCCTACAAAATATATCTAATTTTTAGTTTGGTAATAGAATTAAAGAGCTTAGGAAAATCAAAGTATAATTTTGGACTAGCCAAAAGGTAATAAGTTTATTATCAGGAAAATAAGAGACTTTGAGATACCGTATAGAAAAATTCCCAATAATACAAACTCTGGGGGCAATTAGAAATCAAAGACCTCATAAAACAATTGGTATAGTTTTTATTCAACAAATATTGTGTCTAAAGTACACTCTTTGGGCCCAGTAGATACAGCTGTAAATAAAACTAAGTCTTCCCCTAGAGTCGTGCACCAACTTAGGAAGAGGCACCAACATGGAACATCAGGAGGAAGGAAGGAAGTGCTGCAGAGAATGTAAAGAAAGGACAAAAGGAATAGGGAAAGTGGGGGGGGGGGGTAGGACTCCTATAAGTGGATGAGCAAGGAGTGCCTCTTTAAAAAGATGACATTTGAGCAGAAATGTAGAAGAAATTCAGAGTGACACGGTAAATGTCAGGGGGAAGACAAAGGAAACAGAATCAGGTGTAAAGGCTTTGAGGTGGGGTTGTTCTCTGTTAGTTTGAGGAAGAGAAAGAAGCCAGTCTCATTGGAGCAGAATAAGTGAAGGGGAGAAAGACAGGGAGAAAATGAGAAATAAGGAGGGCTATCTTAGGGGAAACAAGTGGAGGGTGTGCAAATGAAGTGATGGGACGTCCCTTTTTTCTTTTCTTACAGAACCATTCTGCCTGCTGAATTTCTGAGTAGGTCCTGTGGAGAGCAAGATTTGCATTGAGAGACTGGTAGGAGGAGACTAATGCAGGTAAGAAATGATGGTCACTTAGAACAGGATAGTAGCAGTGATAGGGGTGAATGATAGCTAGATTATGAATATATTTTGGTGACTCAGGGTTTTATGGTTTTAGCAGTTGGAAAAATAAGGTTGCTATTTACTAAAATGGGGAAGATTTTGGGAGGGTAGTGGTGAGGTGTGCACAGGGAATCAGGAGTTTGATTTTGGACATGTTGAGTTTGAGATGCTCATTAGACATTCATATTTTGAGTTCATGCATATTCTGAAGTTGAGATTTTGAATAGTCACTGTTGTCAACCTTAAAAATAAAATGGCCAATTATTTTACCAACAAAATTGAGTTTATTCAGAAATGTAGAGAAATTGCAATTTGGGACTCTCAAACTATGGCAGACAATACAGAAGCCTGTAGAGAACAAAGAAGAGGATCATTATAACAAAAAAGGAGAGAGTTGGGAGAGGCTGTTATAAACAAGATGTTTATTGAAGGAAACCAGGAGTTCAAGTGTGTTGGTTTCCCATTGGCTGAGCCATGGCAGTTTCTCATTGGCTGGGTCTGTTGCCAGGCAAGGAGAAAAATCTCCCTTCTTCCTGTTGGAGTCTACAGTGGGTGCTGAGTGGTAGTGCATGAGGGCTTCCCTTCAGGACTTCCCACTCCATTTTAAATAATGTTTCTTTGATTCAGTTTCACAGTATACAGACCTGTAGTCCTGAAGATAATTTTTAAAAAAATTTTTGTACCTATGTGGTTTGAAGAGAGACTGACTACTTGGCACAGCATGTAGATGGCATTTAGAGCCATTAGATGGGAGGCAGGTGGGGCATTTAGGGGCTATCTCCTGAACTATTTGAGGAGCTCTAGGGCATCTAGCAAACTCACAGGGTGTGCTGAAGGATATTTAAAAATTTCCAGGGAAAGCAGCATAGATATGTATGCTTGTCATACATCTGTGTTTTTAAGAAGTTTTGTGTGTACATGTGTTTTGTATGTTCCTGTACATCTGAGATCAGCTGGGTGCAGTTTTGTGTATATAATAGTGTTTCTTACAGAAGAAGTCATGTAAGCATATACAAAATTCACATTTTACTCAGATGATTCCCCAGTGTTCTCAGTCGACCCCAGATAGCAGAGTTGGTTGTGCTGGTAGAGAATCTGCCCAGAAAACTAGAGAACTGTGGCTGAGGGGCCCAGGAAAGGGCTGATGAAGATTTGTGCAGTCTCTTTTTTAAAAAGCAGTTTATTTCTAAAATACATGCATTTTTTTTGAATTCTTGCTTTAGTACAGTATTCTATTCTTAAAACTTAAAAATTTAAAAGCAATTCCACAGATTAACATTTGTTGCAAGAATGAGTGGGTAAGGAGGCTGCTTTCTTTAACGTGAGTATCCTACCCTACTATGAGATAAGATGGCTCTTAGAAAACTGGGGAGGTTTGAGTCATAATGGATAAGGTCAGACATCTTTAGAAAGAACAGCGTCTAGTAAATGAGTGCTACAGAGATTTTTAAATAGTCAAGGGAATTAGTTTAAACTCAGAAGAGTATGAATATCTAGGAAGTTAAATAACATTTAGTTATATCAGCTGAAGAAAGTATGTAATAAATTGAAGACTAGGCCTTTAGGAGGAGCTTTGAAAAACAAAACCAAACCATGTTTGTTCTGCCTTTAGAAGAGAGGGCATGGGTGGAAGAGGCTCAATCTTCATTGTACTGAGTGAGCACTTTGGTTCTTGGGGGTGGGGTATAATGTTCTGGGTCAAAAGCTGTATTTCAAGAGTCATTATATAGCTTGGTTGAATTGTTCCTGAGATGACTCTTCTTTCTTTGCTTTTTCTTGCATAACCCAAACTTTCTGGTTGAATAATTTTAATACCAGGAGAGGGGACAATATGAATGGAAGATTCAGGCATTCTAATTTCTGAAATCGGGACTTGGGTCTCCATTAGGACTTAAATAGGCACACTAATTTATAGCATGAACTAACTTTGGGAGCCTCATTAACTTGGAGTGCAGTGATAAGTGGGTTTCTGATTCTGTATTAGTATATGAAGTCATGACTACATGGTTATCATGATTTCTCTATGATTCTCAAGATTTATAATTCTAGCTGTAAGGAGGTCCTATTCAGGAAACCAAACTTTTTTAAAGGCATTTTGGGATGTAGTAAGTCCTTTCTTAAGACTAAAAAAATTTCCACAGTAATTTGACTTTTTTCGATAAAATATTCCTAATATTGAAGGAGATTTCCATTTCCTCTATTCCTAGTTCCGTGCTAGGAACAATGTTAATTTCAGGGTTTTTTTTTCTTTTTTTTTTCTTACCTATGGCTAGCTTTTGTTTTCATGTTAAGTTCAATCAAAGATAACTTTTTTCCTGTTTGACTTGCCTGTTTTTTGTTCCTCTGCTGATGTTTTCCCCTTCCTTCTCCCATCTCTCCAAATGAGAGCCTGCGATAGGCATTTACCTTTAGTTTTGATCTGTGTGTTTTCTGTAACCATGCAGGAAATTTAGAGCTGAATGGCATCAGGTGGGCAAGACATCACTTTTCTGTATCCATCCAAATTTAGTTTTTTTAAATAACTATTTTATTGTTCAATTACAGTTGTCTGCATTTTTCTCCCACCACTCCCCCACCAGCCAATGTTTCCACCCTCCCCCTTGGTTTTGTCCATGTGTCCTTTATATAGTAGTTCCTGAAAACCCTTCCCCTCATTATCCCCTCCCACCTCCTCTCTAAATTTAGTTTCAGTATTGAAAACTTAGGAAATACTGTACACTTATGCTAACAGTGAGGTGAGCTCAAGAATAATCTACCAATTTAAAACTTGATTTCTGGGTGTTCCCTCTTTCCCTATGTTGTCTCAACCTGTCTTAAGTTTTTGCGGGGGTCTGCATAAGTGCAAGTCAGTTCCTGCCGTAGGATATACTGCAAAATGTTTTCATACGGGGAACTTGGTGTTTATTTAAATCTTTTATAACTCAAAATATATTGTGTTTTGAATTCTTTAATGTGTCAGAAAATGTCAATTTGAAGCAATAGCTACATCACTCCAGTGAGCTTGAGCAAATTTCAGGTTCTTAACTTTTATCCGCTTTTTGGCTCAGTGGTTGCAGACTGTGAGGTTGCAATACAAAAGTATTGAGGGATGCGAGATTTGTGGTGACATGGGAATCCCATGGGGCTAGGCATGCAGAGACTGGAGAGAAAGAAGAAGCAGCTGGTACAAAGACCCAAGATACAAATGAGCTTAGGAACAGAAAGAGAGCCAAAAGAGATGTTTGTGAAAGTGCTTTGTAGATATAAAACAATCCTGTACAGCTCAGGTGCTGTTAGGCTTAGGGAAGATGTGAGTGTGTGTGTTTTCTTTTTCTACTGAGCTATGGTTTGTTAGCTACAGGGCCACCTTGCCTGGGGAGTAGGCGCCTGCCTTGAGGATGGAAAGGAAAAGCAGGACCCATGACTCACAAATTTCAGCAGTTTGTATATTATGACAACTGTTACTTTATTTGTACTAATAGTCTTTTTTTATAAGATGGGCAGTAGGAAAGAGAGGAATAGAATTATAACTAGAAATGTTGGGTGAGGGAGTTTTGTATCATTTCTAACTCTTACAGTATTTGGCTTTGTTGTTTGGTACGTATAGTTTTGCCATCTATAAACCTGTCACTAAAATCCGATCTTGGGTATTAAGTTCTCCTTTGTGGTTTAGTTTGTTAATAACTGAGGTACCTAAGGGTTCTGAGTGTGAACTCTGCATACTTTATAAGTAATTTAGGACCAGGGAAGTTAGAATTTTCTGTTAAAGTAATTAATGAAGCACTGTGGCTTCAAAGTAACATTATATATATATAATTTACAGGAATAACCAAAACTTGATAATAGGGCATAGTTTCTTTTTATAACCCTTAAAGATGAAGTATTTTTAAACTTCTTGGTGTGCTCCTCCTTTCTAGTTAGGGTGTGTAGGAGTCTGTTTATCAGAAATTTTGGTAGTGCTGATTTTTTTAATCTTTGTAAACATGACCCTAGACAGCTGTGTTTAGTGTAGTAAAGACTCATGGGGAGACTTTATAGTGTTTCTGTTTGGGACTTAGTGTCTGTATTTAAGGGATATGGCTTGGGGCTTGCATAACTCATAACTGAATGGCTGCATATGTAGACTCTTCTGTCCTGGAGGTTATTGTGCAGAGGAATATTGTTTTTACCTTAGTTAAATTGACAGTTTTGAATTAAATAACTTTGTTAGGAAAAAGGAAAATGTTTGCACATGGCTGGTGAGTAGGATTTTCTTTAAAATATGATATTGTTTAGGAGTGATTTAAGTAACTAGAGTGTTGGGAAAATGCTGTTACTCAGGCCAAACTACTTACCGCCTCACAGAAAAGTAAACAAGATTAAAGGTGACCAGGGCCTGGAGAGTGTCCTCTGTGCTTTCACCTCCCACCTCCCACCTCGGAGAGAGCAGGGTGCTGAACCAGGAAGGAGATGGGTGGGCGGAGTTGCTTAATTGCATCCACTTCTGGGCTACCCAAGTATCCCTTAGTTAGACACTTGAAGTGTCTAGCTAATAACAAGAATTTTTAAAGTATGCAGTACCTGACTGTTTGGTCCAGGGCACTGGACTCTTTTCCCTTAGACTGTCAAAGTAAAAAACAACAGCGGCCAACACAGCAATAGGCATCCAATGTGAATGAATCAAAGTTCCTATTTTTTTTTTTTTTGGTCAGATTGGCAAAAAGTATATTTTTTGTTTGCCATAGAATTTTAATAATTAGTTTATGTGTGCCATGAGGGCTAGGTAATGCCCTTTGATGACCGAGGTATTGATTTTTGAGGCTCTGTAGAGAAATGAGGATTTTCTGTGGTAGAACAGTCTTCCTTGTGGGTGGTATGGTGGGATTTGGGGAACTGAGTTTAGGCAGTGTCTCCAGAGGGCTCCAGGTTGCCTTGTCAAACTGGGTTTCCCACCCAGCAGATTAGGTGAGATCTGTTAGAGACTCCGTGACGGT